GACAGTTCCTGTCATATACTTTCTTAAATATATTTAAAAATTGCTCATATGCTTTATCTAAGTCTTCCTCTCTGTAAACTGATTCCCAGTTTTGTCCCATAAAATCCTCTTTTAGCCTCCTTACAGCTTGTTCATTAATCACCCTCCTATAGAAAAGATTTGTTTTTGGCCTTTCTTTTCTATACTGGCCATCATAAACCAAAAATACAGGTAAATGATCACTAATATCATTTATAAGTAATCCACTTGACATTTTGCTGTCAATATCATTAGTAAATATATTATCTATTAGTGTTGCATGCTGGGTTGTTAATCTACTTGGTTTTGTAATTATATAACATTAGGAAAAGTGTGCATGGTTGTACTTCTACATATGCCATGGTTTGTATCCTATGATGGCTCAAATGCAGCATTTTGGTTCAGTTTCTATGACTGTGAAGGATTAAGATACTTGGGAAAAAAAAATTGAACAAACCTATAACTTGTCTTTTTTTTGCAGCTACAGCTAGGAGTTGAATTTGAAGCCAGCACAAGAATGCAGGACACCACAACGTCCTTTGCTTACCAGTTGGACCTTCCCAAAGCTAATTTGCTTTTTAAAGGTAAATGGGTTATGAATAAAATCTTGGCCACATACACTCACTGGCCACTTTATTAGGTACAACTGTATGCAATTCAATGCAACACTTCCAGTGTAACACCTGTGTTTATGTTGCACAAAATGTTGAAGTTGTCAAATGTATAAATTAAATGTTTATCATTAAGTTCAATAGTTAATGGTGCTGTTGTACCGGACTACACTATATTCAGAGGTGTTCCTCATATTCAGACCTTCTCCAACTGGAATATAAGGAACACCTCTGAATATAATGTAGTCCGGTACCATTAACTGACCTCAATAAAACATTTAATTTATACATTTTACAATTTCACCAAAAGTTGAAACATTTTGAGCTTCATAAAACACATTATAGCAAAAGTGTTGCATTGCATACAGTTGTACAGGTGTACCTAATAAAGTGGCCAGTAAGACTAAGTTGAATGACTGCTAATTTGAACACTAAATACAGATTTCGTCCTTTAAAAGAATTGACACTTTCAACCTTCCTCTTCAGGCACAGTTGACAGTAACTGGGTGGTTGGAGCAACCCTTGAAAAGAAACTGGTGCCTCTGCCTCTCACACTGGCGTTAGGGGCTTTCCTCAACCACCGCAAGAACAAGTTCCAGTGTGGCTTCAGTGTCACCATTGGCTAGAGGTGTGGGGTTTACTAGGAGCCAGCTCACAGGCCACAGCTTGGACCGGCACAGAGACACACAGGAACCTGCACTCAGTTTTAGAAATTGGATTCAGAGACTCTCTAACAACTGTGATATCTGGGGCAGACAGAGACAGACAACTACCAAGGAGCAAGGACTCGCCAAGCCCTGTCTACATACTGTAGCACAACTGTCTTTCCTATATGGTGTATTGGATGTACCCAGAGGCTAGAGAGATGTGTATCAGAGGGCATCAGGTGATGCATGAGAACATGTGAAAATCTAAGTGGTTAGACATAATATATGGTGATCTTGTATGATTGAAATAAATGTCAGTACTTTTTGTAAAATGCAGCTGATTGCTTATAGAGCAACTGAGCGCAAAGTGTGGGTACGTACAACTTCACTGTCCCTGTGAGACTTAAGAGATTTCTTTCCACTTTGTACACAAAACACACCTTCCTGTGTAATCATTCCAAGTTTAAAGCTGCTTTCATCAGCAAACAATGACTAAATATGCAACAGCAATAAACCCACAGAGGCCAAGCTACAACAGTAGCACCAGCCACTTGGCGTGACCACTCTAGTGGGAGCACCCATAGCTATGGCTGGCAGTTATTAGCTGTGGGTTAGGTACTTAAATGCCACATCGTGGGATGTGCAGTGTGGCGTATGCATATTACAAACCACGTTAGGTTTTGCAGCAGGTCAGCACTGAACCAGCTCCATGAAGCTCGCTTAAACATTTATTTTGTAAACTTGTATATTTTACATAGGTTTGACACATCTGTTCATTTTCATTTACTGTACTTTAAGCCAGAGGGTACATACTGCTACAGTTTGTGTTCACATCCTGAGTGCCATATGATCATCGTTTATCACTGCTGCCACTGTGCATGGTTAATGGGTCCAAGAAGCTGATAGTTAAGATATATGATTTGGTGATCATGTGTGAGTTAAGTAATGGAACGTTTTGCTGTGGCCGCGACCATAGCCATTGATGTGGCCACAGTGATCACTAAATCATGTTAACTATAACTTGACAGACCCATTAACCATGTACAACGGCAGCAGCAATAAACAACAATGATCATGTGACGCTCACAATGTGAACAAACTATATGAGATATGAGACAAAGAACAGTAAATGAAAATGAGCGGATAACTGTATTAATGCGTTGAACCTTCATAAAATATACTAGCAGCTTACTACAGAATCAAACTATAAAATAAATGAACAGTGGGGCTACTTTTATCTAGCTGGTTCAATGCCAACCTGTTGAAAAACCTGACACCAAGTTTCTAATTTCAAATGCCAAATTGCACAATCCACCATCTGCCTGCCCACTCAGTGTTGGCACCAAGTGGCTGTGGTTGTTGTTGGAGCTCGGCTCTAATGGGGAAAAACACTGACAAACCCACCAAAGTCAGCACCTAGCTGGAGAACAAGGTGAAGCATTTAGTTGCTAATCAGATTTCTTTCAGTTAGTGGACATCAAAACCACAGCTAAAAAGTACAATTAATAAATACTAGACAAATACGACCCTTAATTGTTGCAGAAGTTTCTCTATATTTGCTGGATGTATAATAAGCAAATGCTCCACACAAGCTTGCCACATGTAGGTGATATGTCATTTACCGCTTGTTTCTGCCCCCAAGTGGCAACAAATGGAAAGACAGCCAAAGGCTGAAGCAACACTTCTGACAATACAGCTGTCACTATTTGGACAGAGCAGTTACAGTCAGTAAGCAAGAAGACTCCTCTGCAGTCTTTAATTTTATACATATATTATCACATATACTTGGGACAGGTTAAGCTGCTATGGCTGGCCCCCCTGGCTTGTTGGGCAATTTCTTTAGAGTCAGGCCAACTCAAACATTCAGCCACCATCATTGTACATTTCCACTATTCTCATCAATAGTTGCAACTTACCAACATCACACTGCGCCAAAATAAATCAAATGTTTGAGTGGGAGAGAGCAGGTAAGTCTACAGACCCATCAGGTGGGCACCCTCTGAGGAATGCTTCTTTTTCCCAACAACCTTCCATGACACATGAACATCCATTATCACCAGCTACAAGCATGCTAACGACCACAACCATCCACCTCACTATCAAGATAAACAACATGTTGCTTATGACAAGCCCTTTTAACATTAAGTAGGTGGACAGGATTTACATTTAAGATATCTGTAGTGTATTTATGACCGGTCAAAACCACAGTTTCAGATATCTGCAATTAAGTTTGTACTAGACAAAATTGGAATTAAAGATTTAAAAAAAAAGTCATAACTCCAGTTTCAAGATTTAACCTACATATTTTAAATCAATATGTGGCGGTCAATGTTGACATTGTGGCAGCCCACCACAAAAACTGATGTTCAGGAAACACTGGATTATGTACAATCAAATTTCAACTAGTCATATCTTGATTTGAGCTGTCCAAAAAGATTCGGATCTTTCAAATGTGCTGAATTAAAGATACTGTATCTGCAATTGGAATTATGACTGGTCAAAATTGCATTAAAGATGTATTTAATTTGAATTCTGACTGGTCAGAAAATAATTCCAGATATCTGGAATTTACATTTCAGGTAGGCAAAATTTAATTGTAGATCTCTTAGCGTTCCCATTCAAACCAATGAGCAGTTCTTACTAGTCAAAATGTAAATATCTTTAATTCCCAGGCCAGCCGAGAGACATAGTCCCTCCAGCATGTCCTGGGTCTTCCCCGGGGCCTCCTCCCGGTGGGACATGCCCGGAACACCTCCCTAGGAAGGCGCCCAGGAGGCATCCGAAACAGATGCCTTATTTTTATGGATGCGAAAACTCAAGAAAGATGCGAAATAATAAAAGACCCGCATGTCTGAAACACAATAGCCACCAGACCACTTGACTTCAAATACACTGATCTCTAATTAAATAAAATGTACTTTATTTTGCAATATGAAGTCAAATACATACACCAGGCGTTCATTCCACTGCGTTGTATTTCAGCTCTACTATAGCAGAATTAAAGAGACTTTTTATTAAACTGTAGCTGGTCACAAACATCCAAGATCAGGTGGTTGAGACTCACCTACTTAGCTGAAAGCGTATTTGGATAAAGCCAGTGTAATTTTATTTCTTTTCTTAACCATATAAAAAGCCCAGTTTTGGTTAGTTTTTTCAGAGTGCAGAAAAAAAAACAATCATTTCACAGAAAGTACAACAATAAGGAAACCAGCCACTCAGGTTGTAATAACAGATAACACTGAATGAGGCCTGCACTTTCACTAAATAGGCTAACTTGTTTTTGTTTTTGATTTTGTTTTTCTCCAAGACCTGTGTGCAAGGAAAAGACCACACATGTTTTAATGTTAAAGCTGTTTATTATTGTAATATCATTATTATTATTATTGATACTACTACTACTATTATTCCTGCTACTAATAATAATAATGACTGAATGCACTTTCTTAATTAGAAGACAGAGGACCCTAAATGATATTTCTGCATCATGGGCCAATGTAAAATGTTCCATGATATTGCAAGTATACCATAGTTCAACCTTTTACGGACATTTGCTAATTAGCACTACAGATTTCACTTGATGATAGTGCTTAGAAGAAAAGTCAGATGATGACCACAGATATTACAATTCATTCTCTGGGCAACATGAATATCATGATGGTACTGACAACTAGGGTAAGAAACACTCATGAAATCGCTAAGGAAATTATGGAAAGAGCAATAGCCTATTATTTAGAATTAGAAGGACATTTTATGCACACTTAGGCTAGCAAACATTACACAGCCAAATCGCATTAGATATGAAAGATGTCTTTATTAGCAGGTGGTTTAGTCGAGCACTAAAGGTGCCCCTATTGTTTGTTTTACTGACTCCTTTTAAGAGTTGGAATCACATAAAGCAGTAAACTGAATTGCAGAAAGCATAAAGAGGAAAGATGGGATCATGCTGACAGATGGAAGACTCTCCAATTCTTGATGCTTCCTAACAAATACATAATAAGGTAAGATGGCAAAGTATATTCAGAACAATTCTACAATATGAGCAAAGTAGTACTTACCATTTTGAGACTGGTCCTCCAAGGAATAAAGCTCTATGATTTATGATTTAGTATTCAATCTAAAAAAAAAATCACAAACTTAGTGATTGCACAGTCAGAAACTGAAGATATTTGGAAAAATCCGTGATTTTACCAGCTTATTGCATGAAGTTTACTGGATTTACCTTTTGTCACATGGGCCTTTGTCATAGCTACTTGGGTAGGTATTTGTAAATTTGCTTAATGGATGTTTTGGGCAAGGCAGAGAGCTGTTATGCTGCAGACTGGAAATATCTGGAGACAGTGTGTATGATTATAAAGTGGGGGGGGGGTCTAACAAAGTACAGAAAAACAGATCTCATCCATGAAAATATGTCATAACTGTTTATTCAATGCAAAATGTAACATTTGTGATCATTGAATTTTTATGAGACATGATAGCTCACCTGTCAGTGAAATGAGGAAGACAGCAGTGTCCCCTCTAAGGAAGTCTTGACTGCTAATTTCTTCCAGGGAGAAAAAGAAGTTCAGCCCGTTGTCTGGGTTTGCATAATAAGTTTCTCCATTCATAGTAAATAGTGTTCCCACTTTGTGAGGGTTGTCAAATATAGCTTCAGAAAAACAGAAAGCACATGTCTTTACAAATATATTTAAGCAGTGACAGTATTACAAAACAGCTGAATTCATCAGCCACAGCAAACCACTGACATGTCTCTGCTGTAGACTCACCCGATGATGGATCAGTAGTTAGAGTGATCTGTTTGGACATCTGTTGCTGAACCTGAGGGTGCTTGTCCAGCATGATGAGGGTCACCTGCCTCCATGGGCAAGGCCATTCCAGTGTCGAATCATTGTCACCTGACACTAAATGAAAATAAACTCCAAAAAAGGTTTTGCGCAGAACAATTATCACCTGGTAAGCATAACCTTCTGTAGAATACATCCGAGGGCTAAATAGATAACTGTTGTTGTCAGAGGTTGTCAAAAGCGTCTTAAAGTCCGGAATTTGCCATACATTATGTGGACACTCAGACTCAGACAGGTTGATGTCATCAATGGAAAAGCCTCCTGAAGAGACTTCATTTCCGTTCCGGACCTCAAACACAATCTGGAAAGGCTTGGAGACATTCAGGGGAACTTTGTAAAACTGCCAAGCAAAGGTTGGTCGACCTGGAGGAAACAAATGCTTTGTGATTCTTGTTTTGTAAAATTTTCTGAGTTTTTATTTTATTGTTATTATTTGCCATACTATCTGCAAGTCTCTATGAACAATAAAGTGGACCTGTAGGTCAGTCTACCACTTTCATTCAGACTCAAATACTGTATATTAGCAGCTGTTGAAACAACTGATTTGCATAATGGTACATTTTAGCTTTTTAGCTAAATGTCTCGGCAGCAGTTGCCATGAGCGTGGTTCGTGGTTCCACTAATCCCACCATATGTTTTTGTTTAGAATGAAATTTATCAGCCACTACTAGACTGCCAGAACATTTGCTTCAGACAGCCATGTCCTCCATGAACATGTAATCTAGCACAATCATTTGTCCAGTACTTTGATTTGTGGCCTACAAAACTAACAACACTCCCATCAGCAGCTGTACAATTTTTAGCATGTTTAAATGCAATACTAAGATGGTTAAGCATGGGTCTAGACTTAATCTTTCTATATTTTTTGTAGCATTTCATGTCCTCGTCTGTGTCCTCACCAGTGATCTGCTCCATGAGGCGGAGATTTCCTGTAGAGTCGGTCTCATCCTGGAACTCTCTGATCCAGATATTGAGCTGGTCTGATTGACTCCCACTATGGTAATAGTAGAACTGGAGACATTGGACATGACACTCCCTAGTGGGTCTCATTCTCTTGGTCTCCAGCCAGGCTGAGTCTCCTTCTTGGCCTGAAGCTGTGCTAGCATGCATGAAGTACCCTGGAAAATGATTACATTTTTCATTTATTATTACTCTAGCAAGTATTATCAGCTTATTAGGATGGATCTACAGAAGGTTAGCTAGAATACTGTGCATAATCAGGCTTACCCCCCTTTTTGTTCAGATTGGTGTAGTCAGTAAAAGGACCTGAAGCAGCAACACTCATTCTCTTCCAACCTTTGGTCAAACCTTGTTCACAATAATTCATTCCACAGATATTGGCACTGGAGAAGCTGCAATACTCCATAAAAGAAACGGTTGTGCCTGTGGTCACAAAGCAAAAACATACATCGTAATATTGCACAATTCATGTGAGTCTGCTTAAGTCATTTATAATAGTACATCAGTTTCGGCCTTGCAGCCTTACTTACTGCAGTTATAAAGGCGATTCAGCTTATACACATCTATGGGGCTCATTTCCAGTCGCTGGCCAATTTTGTTCTGGTACTGGGGTAACTTAGTGGCAATTGTGCTTTCTGAGTTTTTAGAGAAGAAATCTTTGCCATAGTGCATGACTGATAAGTAGTCATATGGAGCATTCAGTGATGTACTTGAATTCAGGGTTAATTTCTTGAAGTTTCTCTCAAATCCTGTATGGACACAGAATCACACTTTAGACTTGCAACAGTTCATGCCCTGTAGCAGTACATTGTTTCATGTTTTGTCATTGGATTTTATGCATCTAAGACAGTCAAAACCCATTATTTTTTGCTTTATAATTTTCAAAATTATGAGGATTTATCAGTATTTTTGAGTGAAAAATCTTATTTTAGAAAAATCTGTAATACAGGATTCTCTATGGAAATTATATTGTAGTGTCAACTACAACAGTGGTGGCCTAAAGGTTAGAGAAACAAGGTTGTGATCACTTCAGTTCATCAGCACCATTGTAGTGACCAAGGCTCTTAATGCCAGCTGCTCAGTGGCCATGGCTGTACTGGGCAGCTTCCAGGTGTGAATGAATGGTGTTCCTGTAAACAACAGGCTCTCAGTAAAACTACCATGAAATAATGGCTAAAGAAAAAAGACTGTAGTTTCATTGTTAGCTTTTTAGTTACTTTGAGAGATGGATATCTAATCAGTATTTTATTCCTGTTTTTTTTTTTTTTTTTTTTTTTTTAGGCACATCTCAGTTTACTTTTCAGTTTTTGCTGCAGCTGGATCTTGTATTCTATGAGCTCAACAGTGTCTTCAGTCAGTAGAGAGTCAATTTTTAATCTGTGGCAACATAAAATTTGGGTAAAAATCTGCTTAAAGTTCTCCTTATAAGATGTTTTTTGCAAAAGCTAGCACAAAAAAGCAACAAACTAAAAATTACCCTTAGGAATAATTAACATACAAATATAGTCTTGTAGGGTATATTTGCATTTAAATATTGTTATGCAAACAATATTAAAGAAACTTTTTAAAAGACAGGGATGTTTTTTTTTTACCATCTCTGATGTTCTTCCAGATGATGGTTATGTAATCATCTCGGTCATATCGTGATTGCTCATGATAGAAACCCAAAGCATGGAGAAACTCATGCTCCACTGTACCAAGATAACCGCATTCCTTACCGATGGAAATAACTTGGCCACCTTTAATAACCCTTGCAACATAAGAGGAACACCTGCAGAAAAACAAAGAGTAGCATACACTAAACATGATAAGAGAATTAGGGGTAGGCGACCAGGTTGCCAAAACTGAAAATTAGTCGGTTATGTTTGGGGAATAAAACCACAAGTACCCTGTATTCCCTCTGACTGAAAGGTAGTACTCCTCAGACGTTCTGGGCTTGAAATCAATACATGACTTCAAACGAAAGTGTTCGAAGGCCTGCAGAATGACGCCTTTCGCATTCATATCTGTGCTCATAGACAACAGCCAAAGCCATAGTTAGAATTTTCCACTGTAATTTGTCTTTTGATTTGCTCATGTCTCAGCAGTGTAGAAAAAAAAAATTCAACTGACCACCACTCACCAAGACTGTCTTCTAATACAAAAGGAACAGGGTTGTCCCACAAATATTTTGTATTCAAAATTGCATTCCTGGTGACTCTTTTCTTTCTCTTTACTTCCTTGGGTGGAATGAAGAATAAAAAAAGGTAACTAAATATACTATACAGCATATCAAGAAAACAGCAAGATAAATGATGCAAATTGCTTACTTTAGTAATGTCACCCTCAAATAGGTGCAGACCTGGAAGTGAAACATAGAGAGAACTGCTGCTGTTACTGGAAGCAGCTACCAAAGAACATAACAAGGCACCGTGTGATATTGTTACTAAAAGCGAATAGTTGTGAATTAATTGTGGGTTTTCTTTGTCATTGTATCTGCTGCAAAATAGTATCTGTTTGCTTTGTATCTGTAGGCAGGGAACTATTATTTAATGTAGATACTCAGCTTCATTAACTGCATCTGAAAATCTGGTCTCCATCTTACCTTTGTTTATTTCACTTGTGTCCAAGTCCTCTTCATCAGCAATCTCTTAAAAACAAATAACACTGTGATATTTACACGGAAATGCAGTCATGCATTCACAGAATTCTGCTAGTCTTCCGAAAACTATTTAATAAATGTTTCATGTCATATGTTATGAAAATATTTGATAATTTCATTAAACAAAAAGCCTCACCTACGAACACTGACTCGTGGGGCTAGAAATGAACAGGTGAAAGGTCAAGAGAGTATCAAGGTGGAATAAATTTAAAGATAAATACATGCAATGTTCTGTAAAAAAGACAGAAATATACTTACCACAGTGAGATGAAGTAGGCTCATCATAACAATAATGCATTTATACATGATTGTGAATTAATGTCCTCAAATTGGTAAAAGTGGACAACTAGAATATAACTATTAAAAATAAATTGAATGGTAAAAGCAACACATCTAAAGCCTCACAAATAAAAATCTAACTTTCATTCCTTGGCCTGTTTTTGATCTGATGAAGTCCCTTCCAATTCACAGATCTTCTCAAAGGAGTCTTAAATTATCTTCCTAGTTATTGTTCATTTCCAAACCATAAAATCTACAGCTCTAACATATGTGTCTAAAACCTTCATGCAAGTGAAGGCACAAACTTGTACAGGGCAGAAAACATATCCTTCCACAAACATACAACTCACTAATTAAACATAATGAGCACATTTCCCCTCTAGGCCAGTAAAGAATACAGTGTACCCTGGTCTGACAAAATGAAAAGCATTGCGTGAAGGTGACAAACCAAGATACAACTGTGCAAAACATATCTAGTGAAGAATCGGTGGTGGTGGAAGCATGATTCTTTACCCGTATTTCATTAAAAGCAAATAGTTGTGAATCAAGTCTGGTTTTTCTTTGCCACCCTTTCATTCTAACAGCCTGTTAGAATGAAAGGGTGTGCTGAGTTATACAAGTATGTAAATTTCAGTACACTGATGTAACTGAACAAGTGGTTTTAACCCTGAGTCAAACAAAACAAAGCAAATACCAACTTGTTGGAGTTTTTTGTTAGCTTCAAATGTAAAAACAAAGGAAGAACTTTTTGTATTTCAGTGTTAATGAAATATCACTCTTTCACAACAGCCAAGAAAATAATAAACCGTAGCTGTTTATTCATTTTGCTGTGCTGTTCTTGTTTTTCTTCCCCATTTGCTTAATCCTCTTAGTTCTTGAAGTGTGGTGTCAAAGCAAACTGGTAACCGCCTACAGAAAACACAACTCTTGTTAATATACTGAAAGAGGTTTCACAGTTAAACTTTGTGTTTGCAGATGTGATAAGGTTAATTTACATTAGTGATGCTGTGAAGGCAACTGCCTAAAGGGTGACTTAAAATCACAAGAAAATAATTACAGTATGTATGTACACTGTAAAATGACAAAAAAGGGTGAAAAGAGTACTGAACATTTCTGAACATTGCTCACATAAAGGTACAGCTATCTCCATCAAACATAGCTCTTTTAAAGATTATTTTGAGTATTCTGCATTAGGTAAGTCAAGTTGAAAAGGTTAGTGTGCATCCAGACTGTAGCATAAAATAAATCCCAACTAGTCATCATAAATCCAAGAAAGTACTTTAGATGCAACCGGTGCACATGACAAAGGTTTTTAAAAATATAAGAGGTACAATGCATGTAATATATTGTAGTCACTGCTGACAGATGTCACTCCTACAGTTTAATAATTGATCAAAACAAAAGATGTAACAAAAAAGATCAACAAATTCCCTCATTGGTTTCACTAAATTAACTTGATTTGATTTGATTTATTCTTTCAAGCATGTAAAGACAGTTGATATGTCAACACACATAATTTTACACATATCTAACAAATGCTAATCCAATAACAATTTACTTATACCTAGTACATGCTTGAATGGAGTAGGAAGAAGTCAGACTTATCCAGTCCTACCCCCTGACATCATCTTACCATCACTGGTTTGCAAGCAGTATCTCTACATAGATAATTCTCTTCTATACCACACAAGTAATATACTAAAGAATTTGGACATAAGTATGAATAATTCACAGAAAAATTAACAAAATCGTTGAATTGAATTCAGCTAAAACTTCCCTTCAGAAACAATGGAATGTGTTGTTCCAAACCCTCGAGGATATTTGCAGACCTCAGGGGTGTTGTTAAAAGACCTGGTTAATCTGGCTTTTGTGAGAGTAACGTCATACTGAGACTATCTTACAGTCATGTTCCACTCATCTGACCAGCAGAGTGAAAAGCCCCTTAGAGTAAAAGTATTGTTACTGACAGCACAGAGAAAAAATGGGTTTCAATTGTTATTACTGACAAAATCGTTAACTTGCTTCCAAAAAGTAAGTTTAATAGAAAATTGGGGGAAAAAGGGATCTTACTCTGCATTGTAACATTATGATGCAACATGTTTGACAGTTTTTTTTAAGTGCATATGCCTTGGACTAGTTCTGTGAAGTAAATTCAAATATTTCAATCTGCAATGATAATCTGTCTGTAATTAAACCATCTCACTGAATATTTTCTGGGTTTTCTGCTTTCTGTGGTGCAAACCTAATGTTTTCAGGGTGTCATGAGCAGAATTCCTGCCATCAGGGTCACTGAGGAGGTCAGCATGGGCAACATGGTTTCTGTGGGCAGACTGGGAAAAAAATTAAAATGAATGTGCTAAGTTACAGTAGTATTGATGTAAATCTAAGTCAGTAAACAGTGCTATGTTGAGTTTCCTAATGTGTGTGAGATGCATTTGAAGCTGGCTATTATTCATTAGTAAGTTGTAGAGGTTCAGAAATCAAACAGAGAATGGAGATAAAAGCGATGGTGCCCTGATTGGTTAGTGAACAACAGAGGAAAACTGGCAACATATAAACAAGATTTGTTGTGTCAGGATTATACAGAGTAGATCACAAATATGACTTAGCATTTTGCAAAGATCCCACTATGGACATCTCAGCACCATGATTTGTTTTTTCAAAGCTTTTGGTGCCTTGAGAAAAAGGTTTTTCTACCGTCTAATGATGACTAGCCATGGATAAAATATAACTTGCAGTACATCTATGCTTTTCTGTCGATCAACAGAAGTACTGAAGTGTTTTATCAAGCACAATTAGCAGTGCAGAAGCCATTAAAGGTTGTCGCCTTGGGCACATGGCAATAGCAGTGCACAGTTTGTCACCTCTGTTCTGTCATTTTATAGTACCAATGAATGGATAATAATAATAATAATAATAATAATAATAATAATAATAATAATAATAATATGTAACAGTTTAATTGGTAATGAAAATAATCAGTTTCAGGCCAAGTTATATTCACTGACCTCTTTTGATATCAAGTGCATTTATTTCAAAACCCAGAAACAGCTACATACTGTACTAACATCCTGTATAGCTGCTGCTATGACATGCTGAAAACGTCAACATACGGGATGATGCAGACCAAACATACCTTGTGGCAAACGATGTTGCAAATGAGGCAGGAGCTGTAATGTTTACCAGCCTGTCAGAAGAGGTATGGCCTGTTACTGGTTTTGTAATAAATGTTTTTCCACATTCTTTGGCATACAGTCTCTTCTATGTATATTAGCTTTTCAACACATTCATTTAGTGGTGTATTAGCAAGTCAGCTGAATTTCTTACACTTGGTTTAAGATGGTTGGTTGATTTAAGCAGGTTCCATCATCATCTGCCTGTATCAGAGTCACATGGCTCAAGTTAGACCACGTGTGAAGTTTAGGAAAGTCTGAGTAACTCAGTCGCAGATTTGATACATCTGTAAATCAAAATAGAAAAAAAGTTTCATATTTCTAAAGTGATGAAATCCTAAAGTTCATAAGTTTAATAGGACTGATGTCAGAAAGCTTGTGAAATGAAAAGCAATAATACACGTGCTGTAAGAAGTTTGGCCTTCCACTAAGTGCAGTTATTACTTAACTGGTGATGGTTTAACTTTACTGTGACTCACCCAGACTCCCTGGCAGAACAGGGCTGAATGCTAAACCAGATGGCCCATTAAAAATGTAGAAATCGATGGTATTATATTCACCAACATAACAGAATTTGCAAATTTCAGACTGAGTTAGATGGAAACAACAAAGGTATTTTTCCATTTGACTGCAGTGTAGCCTTAACAACATCAGCATCATATACAGCAGGTTCACTGAACAACTGGATACATAAAATATAGTTTATCTGACTCAAAGTAGCTTAAGACTTTTTAGCTATTGTAACACATACCTTCAAAGCTGAGGAGGAAGAAGACGCTGTTTTCTTTCATAAAGTTTCCAGACCAAAATGTATCAAATGACAGGAACTTTCTGTAGCCGAGGTTTGGACCAGCATAGTATGACTCTCCACTGGCGTCAGTGATGAGATCCCCCACCTTCCTGGGGTTGTCCCAGTAGTGAAATATTTCTCCATTATCTTGATGTAAAAATTAACAAAATACACAATTTTCACAGTAAGTACACACACAGTAAATCTTTCAATATATCATGATTTATTTTTTTTCTGTATTTGTCTGAGGGTGGCATGGTGGAACAGTGGTTAGCACTGTCACCTTGCAGTAATAATATTGTGGGTTTGAGCCTTTCTGTGTGGCATTTGCATGTTCTTAGGTTGATGGGTGACTCTAAATTGCACCTGGGAGTGATTGTGCATGGTTATTTGTCTCTAAGTGTCAGCCCTGTGATAGACCGGTGACCTGTCCAGGGTGTACCCCGCTTCCTGCCCAGTGTCAGCTGGGATTGGCTCCAGCCCTGTGACCCTCTTCAGGATAAGCGGTATAAATAATGGATGGATGTATTTTTCTGATATCAGTGATGCTCGCTCACCTCCAGTGAACATTCTCTCTAAATCAGTTGTGATGCTGATCTCCTTCGACATACGCTGCTGGATGTGATGACTCTGGTCTAGCAGTGTGACAGTCACCTGTCTCCATGCACATGGCCACTGGAGCTGGTCATCATGGTCTGTAGACACCAGCCTGAAGAAAACTCCGAAGTGATTAGGGTAGAGATAGAGCAGGAGCTGGAGCCCGTACCTCTGTCTAGTTAAGAACCGTGGGCTCAGTAAGCTTGTGCCAACACTGCTGTTGGTCAGAAAGTGGTCAAAGTAGGGAATATGCCAAACATGATGCGGACATGCTGTTTCAAATATGTTCATGTCATCGATGGAAAACCCCCCAGAGGGGTTTCCTGCTCCTTTACGAACCTCAAACTCCACCTGGAAGGGCCTGGTGGCATTCAGGGCAATGTGCTTGAGCTGCCAGTGATATGTTGGTGGACCTGACAGATGACAATGAACATACAGTTAGACTACAGTGTAGTCTGGAGTCAGTTCAAGGGCTTCAAAGTAAATTTATCTAATGTAAAAGAAAATACAGTATATCTGATAATTACATTATTGATTACATTAACATCTACTATAGTTGACATTTTGTCTAGTTATTGAGCTGATTAGCCTTTAAAGTATCTATGGCTATGTTCACATTACACACTAAAATGGCTCAAATCAGATTTTTTTAAGCCTTTCAAGTGATTCAGATCTGAATTTTTCATAGATTATTTTATATCAGATCTGGGCACCTTGCCTAAGTGACCCTATATTTGAATCATATGCAATCAATGACCGTGTGATTGCTGTCATATCAGAATTCATGTAGGTTTTTTCTGCATGTGCATGTTGTCATATTGTTGTAAAGGAGAGCAACATCAGGGACAGGGGTCAGCGGAGAGATGGCAAAGTTTCAAATTTGGTGGATGTTTATGGAGAAACTGCTGACCAAGCCCAGATGGAAGGAACAGTTTTAGGGAACTGCATGATTTGACTGCCACACAAATGCCACTGGTGTTATTCTTATACACACGCAGGACACATTTCAGTTAAATCTGCTCATGTGTGACAGTTTAGGACCTCAACAGTGTCCATACCGGGTATGTCACAAACGTGAATGTGAGCCAATAATATAAAAAGATAAGAACTAACAAAAATATATCAGAATAAAGGCCTGTAATGTGAAAATAACCCATATTTTTGAAAAATCAAATCCAGTCTGCAAAAGGTTTATTTCTATTTCTGATCAAGCCTTGATTTGCGGGATGTAGACCCCACCTATGATCTGCCCCATTAGATAGGTGGTTTCCTTAGAATCCCCGTCATATTCTCTGATCCAGATGTTGAGTTGGTCTTGGTCACTCCCACTGTGAAAACAGAAAAACTGGAGGCACTGAAGCTGTCTCTTTGGATTCATTTTCCTGCTCTGCATTTTGGTGCCATCCCCCTCTTTTCCAGAAGCTGTGCTGCAGTGCATGAAGAAGCCCCCACCTACACACAATTAAGCACTAAAGTGATCCTCATGCCATTGACAGAAATGCAGTGAGCACAATTTTGTGTAAAAATGACCTTAGATATCAAAGTTGATGGGGGACTACAGTTTATAGTACATTTGGTAAAACTGTCAGCTGCAAAATGTAATGGCTTTTTACAGAAAACTCACCATTTTGATTTGTTGTTGTGTCATTTCCATCAGCAGACTCCATCTGGTTTTCTGTAAAAAATAATGAAAATGCAACAGTTTTGCATTTCACTTGCAACAGCTGCTAATTAGCATTCTCAGTGGCTCCACCACAGTGCTGCTGTCCATAGGGACAGGGAAACAGCAGTTAGAACAAGGTATAAATTATATTATAATGGGGGTAATTGATAATAAGGGGATATAATACACAGATGCTGTACCATTACAGAGAAATGATTTGTTGAGAGAACATTGTTTTTAACAAGAAAAACCAGGGACATTTTTTCTTTTAAATCATGCAGGCTCATACCTCCCAGTGGACTCAGGCTGGTGTGGTCCGAGAAGGGCCCAGCTTCAATGCTGGCGACTCTCTCCCAGCTGACATTTCCTGTAGCACAAAGAGTCACATCACACACTCTCTCATCCTCAAAGCTGCATGATGCCAGAAAGGTGACGGCAGATGCTGAGGAAAGCACAAAAACACAAGACGTCATTATATGCACCACAAAATACATTGCATACTTAGGTGTGTCACTGTTTGATCAGATATTTACTTACTGCAGTTATAAAGCTTCTGGAGCTTCAGGACATCATTAGAGCTCATTTCTTGACGTTGGCCAATTACATCTTGATACTGTGGCAGGTTAGTGATGATGGTGGATCCATTGCCATTAGAGAAGGCGTCTTTACCATAGTGCATCACAGATGTGTAGTCATACATTGTCCCAAGCGTGGTAGTGTAGTTTGAACTGTGCTTTAAGAAATTATGTTCCTCTCCTGAACAAAACATGGCGGTAATCTATTTGTTTTTCTTAGCAGAGGCAGACCATTTCAAATCAGAATGAGGTATTCAGTTAAGTTTAAAGCAAACCTTTTTCAATGTTTTCCCAAAGAATGGTCACATAGTCATCTCTGTCATATCTCGACTGTTCATGCCAGAAGCCCAGTGCATGAAGAAACTCATGCTCCACAATGGCGAGGAGATCACACCACTGTCCAATAGAGAGGTTTTGGCTTCCCTGACGTTGATTCCCAACATAAGACCAACATCTGCGGACAAAAACAGGTAAGAAAAACGTTTAATTGAAGGAATACTTTTGGGACTTTTGGAAAATAGCTCAGTTGTAAAATATATTGTGTAAAATACCATATAAATTATTTATGACTACACTAGAACAAACAGTTCTACCCACCCATCGTCCTGGATGACTACAATGTAGTTGGGTTCATCTTCCCGGGGTTTGAAGTCGATGCACGTTTTCAGCCTTATCTGCTCAAAAGCCCGTAGAACAACTCCCCTGGCATTCAGGTCTGTATTTCAAAGTGAGCAAATGACAAACACGATGCTATGAGGAGTCAGCACATCAAACTAGTTAATTAAGTTCAATGTTTAGCTGTCATGTTCAAAACTACAGCAGCATAGGACTGTGACAGCTATGCAGCGCAGACTATTCTGAATTTACTGCAGTCAAATTGTACAAAGTATATACAGTATACTTTATGTGTACCCACAGTGGGTTTTGTTGTTAACATTAGTTAAGGCTATCACTGTTCTGACAGTGTATCTGTGGAAATCTACCCTAGATTACGCTGTTTACTGTATGAGCAGGGCTGAAGGATGTGACCTGTGTCCTGTGTTCTATACTGAATCCTACAAGATTTTATTTATTGTAATTGTCCTTTTAACACGAACCATTCCGGGTATCATTGAAGCTTTATGTATGATATGATGTGTGATCACTAGTCAGCTTGTGTGATCAAATCTGCGCTGCACTGTCAAGTGTTTTTGCTTGTCTGATGCCAACAAATTAATCAAGCTGTTTATTCCATGTTTTCTTCACAGCTGAATGAACACTAGGACCATTTCTCTGTCTTACCAAGGCTCTCATCAAACACGTATGGGACTGGTATCTCCCATCTGTAGTGGTCTTCCAGAACAATGTTCCTGTCACGGTCCTTTGAAATATAAAAGAAGAAGAAGAAGAGCAGTCTCTATGCTAACTTGAGGTATTGTTCAAGTATACTGCTTAAATACTAGTATGACACCAAAGGTGCTCACAGTCACTAGTTTTATGTCTCCCTCATGCAGATTCAGACCTAAAAGAAGAGCATTTTTTTTAAGTATTTATTTATTATTATTTTGTACATATTTTTTTGCTAATTCAATTAACAAAAAATAAGTGGATCATGCATATGGTTCTTTAAACACACCTTTGTTTATCTCAGCAATGTCCAGATCTGTGTCTTCATCCCAAGCGGCTATAGATAACACATGAAAGCATCATGGAAAAAACAAATGAACAAACAAACAGAAAAATAAAACATGTCCAGTATGTTGGCTGTTAGTGATTGCGCTTTTCACAAAATGATTATTTTTCTCATCACAATCAGGGGCAAGAAAAAAACATGGATCATGTTCTCCAGAAAATTACTCGTCAGTTAATTGGTCACCTATATAAATATCAAAATATCAATTTATACATTTAATTACATGTGTCAAATCAAAGGAAATGTTACTAGATTTGTTGTTTAAAATCCATTATCACACATGTTTTCTTAATTACAAAGATGCTCTCTTAGTCTACTTTACATCACCTCCATTAACAGATGACTGTGGCTGTGGACAAATGCAGACAAATGTGATACAAATATTACATCATTTGATCGCAGTGGTAATATTCCAAGCCTCACTGGCAACATGAATAAGAAATGAATGCGATTCAAACAAGGAAACTTACCAAAGCAGATATCTGCTGCACAATCAAACTCAGCAGTACAGCTATAAAACCATACATCGTCTGTTCTGAAATAAGAAAACACATGTTTAAGGCCAGAAAACAGGCAGATTTTTCAAAGCTAGCTAGAAAGTAGGTTTAGTGTTTTTAATTACTATTTTGCACAATAAACATATTACAATATACCCTGAAAGTACACCAGAAAAAGTAAGTGACGCTGTGTACTATTCACAAGCATCACTGCTTGTAAAAACAAAAAAAAAAAAAATCTTGTGTAAAACTGTCAAAAAATATGACAGTTATCAATTTAGAGTACACATGCAATCTGCCCGTGTGCTCCTTGTATGCAGGTTGTCATGACAATTACATTATTAAGTATGTTTTAAAATGTGTTCTAATCAATATATTAACCAACATATGTTATTCAATGGATTTTAAACTTTCAAAACAGACCACAGGGACCTGTGGGACACTGCTTGTGTGAACTGAAGGAGATGTTTAATCTTTGTTTTAGTACTCTGTGTGTTGTTATATGTTCAACCAAATGGCATCCTAGACTTAAAGAAGCCAGCAATAAACTGTTCCTGCCATATACTGTGAAAATAAACAGACAACAAATTGTTTAGTGTCTGAGGAGTTATCAGGGCAAACTCTCTCAAGTTCACTTTTCTTGTTTAAATCTTCTTTACGACTTGATTAACACCTGGGTTGCATCTTTAGAGAGTTTCCTTTCTCCTATATATTGTGATGTTTAGACTAAGCTCATTCGGACAACTCTGTATGCCTATGCTGACTTGTCTCCTTGCTGCAAGTAAACCAAACTCTTATTTTAGAGATTCCAGTGACTTCATTGCTTCTTTGAAAATTCTTTTGACACAGGTACAGACATATAGACAATGACACATGCACACCTACACACCTGTTAAAACTTGCAGAACATCTGTCCTAAAAGTGAAGCACCAGATCGCCAGAGAGCTCCTACACAAAACATTAGTGTTGCTAATTGGGACAATATAAAACCTTGGTTCACCAATGGACGTTGGACTTCCAGCAGAACTGCCATCCTGCAGCTGCCTACAGATTGACAGAAAGGAGTAATCATTTAAAAGATTGGCAGGCTAAGCTTTTAATAAATATGTTGCTGGATAATAGTTAACTTTTGTTTTACTTCTTTGTTGTTTGGGTCTCAGAGATTCCACTGCTTTAATCAGAACCACAAAATCAACCTGTCGTCACTATACATTCTGTCCTACATCAGCTGTTCGCACTTCCTGCCCATGAATGTCTGTGAAGCTTTCCAGTCCTTGCTGTTTTTTACTCTTTCCACCAGCCCTCTGCCTTTCTTGCCAATTTCTCTCACCTGACCTCTAACATTTACCAGATTTTTTTTTTTTTTTTAGTTAAGTGAACAAAGGTACTGGGTTTTCTCTGGGAGAAGGAAAATAGCTTTGTTGTAATGAACTGACGCTGTTATAAAATGTTATAAAAAGCCAAACAGTAGATTTAATGTGACGTTACTCTTTAAACTGATCACCTTCTGCACCTGTAGTCATCAGATGTTTCCAGTGAAGTTCCTTTATCTGAACCTGGTTTGGCTGTGACTCTGTATCTTTGGTCCTCACCCCTCTTGCCCTATACACAAACTGTAATACAAAGAGTTTTTATTTATAAAATATTATTTTTTTTTGGCCTAATATATACCCAATATGTAGAAAAGTGCTGAAGTAGGAAGCCTTGTGTTTTCCATATTTAATAAGGTGACAAAATACAGAAGATAATGTAAAACATTTTCGAAAACTTAATACATTCCTAGGTATTATCAAATAAAGTTTTACAAAGTGCTTCATCTTGTTGCCACAGTTTTAATAAAAATTGTCGCTGTCAGTGTGACAAAATTAAATCTAATGTTTCGCTCTCAAGTCATTTTACCATAGAAGTGTAAAGCAAAAAGTTTGAAAAAGGTTTTCATCATTCTCATTTTTAATAATCCTCTGACTAAGAAACAAATTAATGAAAAATGGCATGGGTTAGAAGAACAATCCGCTTTCAGCCTGTTTTAAACTTATCAACAATATAGTGTCCATACAGCTTATATTTAGCAAAGTGGCCAAATGATTTGAGTGACCTTGACTGGTCGCAGGGTTTATACAAGCAGGTCAACCAAGTCTCTACCTGTAAGATGATTATTCATTGGCTATCATCATGTTACACTGTGACATAATCAAACCTTTAGACTGTTCTTCACAGGTTCTTCACTAGGTGACAATGCGTCCACTTTTATTAGCACAGGGGACACTGACATCCGTTAGGTTTTACAGTGTTTCAGGATGCATTTCATTACATTTACTTAAGAGAAGCTTCTCTCTAAGGCAACTTGCTCCCCCTCCCCCACTTGCACTGCACTGAGAAACCTAGATGACCAGTATAAAACGAGAGACGCCCAAACAAAGCAATTATGGGTTTATGCAATTACATTACACCCTATAATATTATTTGCTTCAGTTGAAAATGATTTATTTATTTTGATGGTGTTTTGAACACCTCAAAATTCAGTTGTAAAGAAAATTCCTATGCTTATTGTTGTAAACATACAACAGAAAGCCTTTTCCATCTTATTTCCTCCCTGCTGCCAGAGTCAGCATCCAGCGTGGAGGGTCAGAGTCCAGTGACGATAGTACATGCACACTCACATGTGCAAATAATACTAATGTAACATGTATTTGTTCCCTGGTTATTTTTTAAATCGAGCAATTGCAAAAATGGTATTCGTCTTGTAAATAATATGTACAGGCATCTCACAAGTAAAATCACTGATCATAAATTTGACCCTTGTGGATTTTATTTGAAGAGAGAACTGTGTTTTGTCAGAGAACAACTTCAACATAACTACATCAGTCATGTATTTGTACTTTTTAACTGTAACTCCTTAGAAATCAGTCTGTCCTTAACTGGAAAAACAAACTTTAAAAAAAAAATCAAATGGACTAGATTTCTAGGTCAAAGACGTTTCACCTCTCATTCAAGAGGCTTCATCAGTTCTGACTGACTGGTGTTGAGCCGGAGATATTTATCCCCATTGGTGTTTCAGTCCTTTGAAGGCCAACAAGGACTGAGAGGTGAAACGTCTTCGACCTAGAAATCTAGTCCATTTGATTTTTTTAAAAGTTTTTTTCCAGCTTACTATGACCTGGATGACTGAGAATCTCCACAGATCTGTCCTTAATGTAACTGCCACATTTTAAAGTGCCACTCTCACTGACTCACAAATTCTCCATGTGACTTTACAAATTCAAATCTGACCACACACTTTCATGCACCAGCCTGATTGTACCTGCAGTGTTCACACTGCATTATCAGTCAAAACAGTCTGCCCCATTCAAACTCTATGACACAGGCCACTGACGAGAGGGAGGGGTTTTCTGACGCACACAGGCTTCTTTGAACAAGATGCATCTTGTTTGACTCACCGTTGTGGCAGAGATTCAGTGTTGTTGTGATGTAGATAAGACTATTGCTGCTGGTCTGATAAGCAGATTAGTATCTGAGGAGATGACAAGATCACGTGGTCACTGCTCATGTTCTCAGGCTGATTGGTTTCACTTTGTTGTCCCCTCCTGGTTTTGGTTATGAAGAGATGTCTGTGGAGATGGAGAAGATAACTGTCAACCTCTAGAAACTAGGGAGCCAAAACTCTGACAGGAGTCAAGACATGTTACAACATGGCAGGTGAAGTCAACATACAACTTACCTCTTGGGAAAAAGCAGCAAGTGTCACTGCGACTTATGACCACAGCAGTCTCTCTGTGAGTTTATATAGCAACCATCCTTTGTATGTGGCTTGTAAATACACAGTTTGATCTAAATAGCTGTTTATTTAGGCTTAATTTTTATAAGAAGATTTTGTGATTTTATTTGTGTTCTTTAATATCACAAAAAACAAAGATGTCTATTTATATTTATCCAGATTCTTCTTTTTAATTAAAAAAAGAATTTGATCATTGCAAGTTTATTATTGTCTTTTGCAAACCTGCCAATGTTTCAGTTGCCTTACATTTAGAAATTTTCCATTAAAGCAAATTTTTCACCTTGAAACAAAGAACCTTAATGTGTAAGTGTTTGGAGATGTGAAGAAATCCTGCACTCACATAGTTGCAGCTGAACTGTTAAGTCCTGAAAACTTAAACATTTCTCACCTACGACTACATCAGCAACAAGCAGAATAAAAGCTGAGACATTAATACATCCCTAGGTATTATTAACTAAAGGTTTTACAAACTGCTTCATCTTGTTGCTGCAGTGTTAACAATTGTCACTGCCAATGTGTGACAAGAGTCAACCATAAAGTGAAAAGTGTTTCCAAATTCAATCTAATGTTTCACTCTCAGTCAACAGCAATGCAGTGAAAGATTAACATTACTTTAAAGTAGTCTGTTTTCTCTATACCCAGATTCAATCAGTTTAAGGCTCAGACATATTTGTCTTTGTTACACAGATCAAATGAATCTTACCACAAAAATGTAAAACAAAAAACATGAAAAAAGGGGTTTTCATTGTTTTCATTTTTGATAATGATTGTACATAACGGAGAGGCCTAAGCAAAAAGTCATGTTTTGATATCAAGGAGCTCTCTCTTGGCAACCACAAAGCCCCCCCCCGAAGCTTCTCCCAACTGATGGAGTGCATGCTAAACACTAAACACGTAAAACATAAAGCTAAACATAACAATAAACCAGCAAGCTAATTAAATAAACTCACCAGCATCCTTTGAACAGAGGAAAACAGGGCAGAAATCAAGTCCACATCTTCAGAACTCCCACAGCCTTGTAAATCCACAGCTGATTAAAGATTAAAAAGTCTTTTTAAAAATACCTTAAGAAGCTCATCATCAGGGTAAACCCACAATGTACACAGAACCCAACACACTGGCACTTGGTGAAAGTTTACATTAATGTATTCCCATGTATTTAATGTACAGTAGTACAGCTTATTTTAGCAAGTTGGCCAAGTGGTTTGAGTGAGCTTGACTAGTCACAGGGTTTATACAGTGCATTTTATTTCAAATAAATTCTAGTGAGGCAACTTGTTGACATGGACATGCAGGACAGCTGAATCTGAGCCTGCTAAATGATTATTCATCGGCCATTCTTACACTGTGGCATAATCAGACCTTTAGGCTGCTCTGTCACGGTTTCCTCACTGCGTGGCAATGTGTCCACTTCTATTAGCACAGGGGACACTGACATCCGTTTGGTTTTACACTGTTGCGGGACATTCATATAACAGACGCTTCTGTACTAAGACGTGCTCTCCAAAATACCTTTATGAAGCTGGTAACACTTCAAAATCTGTTAAGCTAAATATGTGGTTAAATATATATACACACATTTTATTTATTAATAATTTTTAAAACAAATAATCTATGAACTATTTTTGTGAGGTATTTTTCAGCGATGCAGTAAATAACATGGATGTGAATAATACTGTACTGTAAATGTGGTGTTTTGATTAAAATAACCTACTTGTTCAGAATCCTGCCCTTATGTTTTGCCCTTATGTTCTTTTCAGATTTACTATACATTATCTTTATGGCTTTGTAAGTCAACATAATCAAAGAAGTTTTAATCTGAAACAATGTAAAAACCTACTAATAATCAACAAATGTTAACATTTGCCCTTTACCTTTGTTAGATTATATTACATAAGGGTTAAAACTATGTTATTGTAATATTTGGTTTGATTTGATTTGAAAAAAAATAAATAAAAATTTACAAATGATGCAAAATTTTTCACACCTGTTCATTTTTATTGGAATCACACTCATTTCAGGGTTAGGGAAACATGCAGGAAAGTTTGCAAAACAAGCAGTAACTATTTACACAACACAGCCCCCACTGAATACAGCAATTCTATTCATCACATAGGGGGCAGTGTCTTCGTGTGTGTTCGTTGCAAATGTATATGTTGCACTGGGTGCATGTATATCGTGTTTTCCTCTCTGTTCTGGGTCCACACACTCCACATCGCTTCCTGGTTCTGGCTGCATCCTAGAAAAATGAAAAGATAAGAAATTATACTTAGCACTTAGTCTCTCTCTCTCTCCTAAAGCATAAGTGTCACACATACAGTATTATGCCACAGCATTACACACTTACCTCAGGCTGTGGTGATTGTGGACCTCTAGGTCTGGTGGATGGGCTTTTGGTGGATGGGCTTCTGGTGGATGGGCTTTTGGTGGATGGGCTTCTGGTGGATGGGCTTTTGGTGGATGGGCTTCTGGTGGATGGGCTTTTGGTGGATGGGCTTCTGGTGGATGGGCTTTTGGTGGATGGGCTTCTGGTGAATGGGCCAGCATCCTCCTCCTCCTCCTCCTTCTGAATCCTCCTCAAGATGGCTAAAGACGCTGATGTTCTTGGAAGACGCTGTCTTGTCTGCATGTGAGGTGTCACCAGGGCCTTACCCAGTTCCTCCAGGAAAACCCGTCTTTTCTCGAGCTTCTTCTGGTTCCAGAGTGGGTCGAGTGCCGTCCAAACAACAAATGCGTTGTATGCCGAGATGTCTAACATGTCAAAGAAGAGGACCAGTGGCCAGCGTAGTGTCCTTCTTTTACAGCTGTAGGCAGTCACCAGCTTGTCCAGGTTGTCCACCCCACCTTTTGTGGCATTGTAGTGCATTATGATCTCTGGTTTTTGGCCACAGATTTTGCCATCCCTGTGCAGTGTGCTCATCAATACAACATTCTTGTCCTTCTTTGGCACATAGGACACCAGGGACGTGTCAGCCGTGTATAAGAACCTGGATGAATATAGAGGTCTGCCCTTTGTTTCCAACAGTTGCGGTGGGAGCTCTGGCTTGTTCTTGCGGATCGTTCCCACCATGGTCAGCTTCCTCTTCAGGAGCTCCTGTCCCAGCTTGTACGACGTGAAGAAGTTGTCGCAAGTAATGTTGTGTCCCTTGAGATTCTGAGACAGGTCCAGGACAACTCTCATCCCTTGATTACGCTCTGAGACTCCTCCCTCAAGTTTCCCTGTGTATACTTGTAAGTTCCAAGCGTATGAGGTAGCGGCATCGCAGGCAGCCCAGATCTTGATGCCATACTTAGCAGGTTTCGAGGGCATATACTGCCTGAAGGGGCAGTGGCCCCTAAATGGCATCAGCTGTTCATCGATGGTGACGTTAGGCCCAGGGTTGTAAAACAGGGGGAGGCGTTGCACCCACTTGTCCCACACCGTCCTGATGGGTGCAAGCTTGTCTTTCCGCTGTTGAGCTAGTCTCTTGTCTCGGTCATCAAAACGTATAGTCCTTGAAATTACTTGGAATGTGTTCAAGGACATTGTTGCCCGGAATATTTCTCTTCCGGTTTCAGCAGCCCACAGGGACTGCAGTGATTCTCCTTTAGATCTGAAGACTCCAGCAAGGTAAAGCAGACCAAGGTAGGCATATAAAAGGGTCATGTCCATAACCTTCCATTTCTCTTTATGAACACGCCTACCTTCTAAATTTGTGCAGTCCAGGACTATTTGGAGGATGGAATCTGGCATTAGGAGATGAAAAGCAGACCTGATGTCGTGGACATGGGCGACTGATATTCTAGTCGGCCCTGTTCGCATTGTTAGCACTTTGGAATCATGGCGGGGTGGCTCCTTTGATGGGTAAGAAGACCATGTAATGTCACCACTTCTCGACATAAAGATTTCTTCAATTGCTTGCTCCTGATGGGATGTTCCGGGAGCTGGCTCACCCTAGAGTAATGACAACATAATAAGTTATAAATGGGAACCAGTATCTATCTCTCTCAGAGCACATTTTATCAAACAGACTGTATTTTGCATATGAATTACAAACCTTTGACTGCTGTGCCGTTTCTGAGTCGCGCGTCACAGAAGCACTCCTCGCTCGTTTTCTGCGTGGGCTTGGCTCACCCTAGAGTAATGACAACATAATAAGTTATAAATGGGAACCAGTATCTATCTCTCTCAGAGCACATTTTATCAAACAGACTGTATTTTGCATTGGAATCTGTTGGGACCCGGTACTTTTCACCACGCTAACTCTGAGAGACAAAGCCGTCCAAGTAGCTTCAAAACAGTGCTGATTTATTCAGTGAACACAGGTAAAAATTAACATTACATGCTCAGGTATCTTGCACCTCCAACATGCACGCAGGCAGCTGAAAGATGAAAGACCCTGAACCACAACAGGCCTATACATTATATCACTTCGGGCTAACCCCATTCTACAGAGAGAGAGAGACGCCAAACCGTGACGTCTCCCAGGGCCAGCTTTGCAGCTGGCCAGGGCAGTAGTCAAAGCATGAAGAAAATCAATGTGTGATTGTCTGTTGATTATGTGGTGTGTAGCTAAAATCACTGTAACACGACCTCTAGTGACATGTCATGACATTAAACATAATATTATGGCTATGTTTACAGTTATACACGTCGTAATAATAATAATAAACATCCTGTCTTCTAACAGGCATCAACTTTCTATCTAGTTATCCTTGACCATAAGCAACCTGCAGCAACTCATGAGAATGCCTAAGCATTTAACAGCCTGAGCTAGACATCCTGTCTAC